GGCGTCTTGGTTCTTTCCACAGTTTGGCGACCGTGGCCATTGCTGCTATAAACATTGGGGTACAGATAGCCCTTCTTTTCACTACATCTGTATCTTTGGGGTAAATACCCAGGAGTGCAATTGCAGGGTCATAGGGAAGTTCTATTTTTAACTTCTTGAGGAATCTCCACACTGTTCTCCAAAGAGGCTGCACCAACTTGCATTCCCACCGACAGTGTAAGAGGGTTCCCTTTTCTCCACATCCCCTCCAACACATGTTGTTTCCTGTCTTGCTAATTTTGGCCATTCTAAGTGGTGTAAGGTGGTATCTCAATGTGGTTTTAATTTGAATCTCCCTGATGGCTAGTGATGATGAACATTTTTTCATGTGTCTGATAGCCACTTGTATGTCTTTATTGGAGAAGTGTCTCTTCATATCTTCTGCCCATTTTTTGATATGATTATCTGTTTTGTGTGTGTTGAGTTTGAGGAGTTCTTTATAGATCCTGGATATCAGCCTTCTGTCTGCACTGTCATTTGTAAATATCTTCTCCCATTCTGTGGGTTGCCTCTTTGTTTTGTTGACTGTTTCCTTTGCTGTGCAGAAGCTTTTGATTTTGATGAAGTCCCAAAAGTTTATTTTCACTTTAGTTTCCTTTGCCTTTGGAGACATATCTTGAAAGAAGTTGCTGAGGCTGATATTGAAGAGATTACTGCTTATGTTCTCCTCTAGGATTCTGATGGATTCCTGTCTCACGTTGAGGTCTTTCATCCATTTTGAGTTTATCTTTGTGTACGGTGTAAGAGAATGGTCGAGTTTCATTCTTCTACATATAGCTGCCCAGTTTCCCCAGCACCATTTATTGAAGAGACTGTCTTTTTTCCACTGTATCTTTTTTCCTGTTTTGTCGAAGATTATTTGACCATAGAGTTGAGGGTCCATATCTGGGCTCTCTACTCTGTTCCACTGGTCTATGGGTCTGTTTTTATGCCAGTACGATGCTGTCTTGGTGATCACAGCTTTGTAGTAAAGCTTGAAATCAGGTAACATGATGCCCCCAGTTTTATTTTTGTTTTTCAACATTTCCTTAGTGATTCGGGGTCTCTTCTGGTTCCATACAAATTTTAGGATTATTTGCTTCAGCTCTTTGAAGAATACCGGTGGAATTTTGATTGGAATGGCATTAAAAGTATAGATTGCTCTAGGCAGTATAGACATTTTAACAATGTTTATTCTTCCGATCCAAGAGCATGGAATGGTCTTCCATCTTTTTGTGTCTTCTTCAATTTCTTTCATGAGTGTTCTGTAGTTCCTCGAGTACAGATCCTTTACCTCTTTGGTTAGGTTGATTCCCAGGTATCTTATGGTTCTTGGTGCTATAGTAAATAGAATCGATTCTCTAATTTCCCTTTCTGTATTTTCACTGTTAGTGTATAAGAAAGCCACTGATTTCTGTACATTGATTTTGTATCCTGCCACATTACTGAATTGCTGTATGAGTTCTAGTAGTTTGGGGGTGGAGTCTTTTGGGTTTTCCATATAAAGAATCATGTCATCTGTGAAGAGAGAGAGTTTGACTTCTTCATTGCCAATTTGGATACCTTTTATTTCTCTTTGTTGTCTGATTGCTGTTGCTAGGACTTCTAATACTATGTTGAACAAGAGTGGTGAGAGTGGGCATCCTTGTCGTGTTCCTGATCTCAGTGGGAAGGCTGCAAGCTTTTTCCCATTGAGGATGATTGCTGTGGGTCTTTCATAGATAGATTTGATGAAGTTCAGGAATGTTCCCTCTATCCCTATACTTTGAAGCGTTTTAATCAGGAACGGATGCTGGATTTTGTCAAATTCTTTTTCTGCATCAATTGAGAGGACCATGTTGTTCTTCTCTCTTCTCTTATTAATTTGTTCTATCACATTGATTGATTTGCGAATGTTGAACCATCCTTGTAGCCCAGGAATGAATCCCACCTGGTCATGGTGGATAATCTTTTTAATGTGCTGTTGGATCCTGTTTGCTAGGATCTTGTTGAGAATCTTAGCATCCATATTCATCAGTGATATTGGTCTGAAATTCTCCTTTTTGGTAGGGTCTTTGCCTGGTTTGGGGATCAGGGTAATGCTGGCTTCATAGAAAGAGTCTGGAAGTTTTCCTTCTGCTTCAATTTTTTGAAACAGCTTCAGGAGAATAGGTGTTATTTCTTCTTTGAAAGTTTGGTAGAATTCCTCAGAGAATCCATCAGGTCCTGGGCTCTTGTTTTTTGGGAGGTTTTTGATCACTGCTTCAATCTCATTACTAGATATCGGTCTTTTTAGGTTGTCGATTTCTTCCTGGTTCAATTTTGGGAGTTTGTAGTTTTCCAGGAATGCATCCATTTCATCTAGGTTGCTTAGCTTATTGGCATATAACTGTTGATAATAACTTCTGATGATTGTTTCTACTTCCTTGGTGTTAGTTGTGATCTCTCCCTTTTCATTCATAATTTTATGAATTTGGGCTTTCTCTCTTTTCTTTTGGATTAGTGTGGCCAATGGTTTATCGATCTTATTGATTCTTTCAAAAAACCAGCTTCTAGTTTCACTGATACATTCTACTGTATCTCTGGTTTCTACCTCATTGATCTCAGCTCTGATCCTTAGTTATATTTCTACCCCACACATTAGAGCAGAGAATGGAAAGTACATGATGAGTATAGTGCAGGACAGAGTAGATGAGAGCCATGGGGTGTTTGGGGTGTTCTTCTGACACATGGTGTCTTCCTTCACACCTTCTGTACAACTCTGAGGATGCAAGTTTCCTCATTTCAGGCCTTCCCTTCTGGGGAAGGGTGGGGTGCAATGCTCAAGCCTCTGTTATCCCCTTGCAGACAAGGCCATTTGTACTGGATCAGTGCTGGCTGCATATCAGCCCCCAGCAATAACTAGCCTATCACTGTTGGGATAGATCCATCTAGCTGGGGCAGGTGGTGAGGTGACAAAGGCAGGTGGATGCTCAGATTAGACTTAGTTATGAAATCATAATAACTGAGTATGCATTTTGGACAAGGATGAAACCACATTAGTTTCCACAGATGCCCGATTTTCAAGTAAAATAAGAAAGGCTTGGTGTTGGTCACCTGAGTGGCTCAGCTGGTAAAGCAGCTGCCTTCAGCGCAGATCATGATCTTGGAGTCCTGCAATTGAGTCCCACATCGGGCTCCATGCTCAGCAGAGAGTCTGCTTCTTCTGCTGACCTCTCTCCTCTCATGCTCTCTCTCTCATTCTCTCTTTCTCTCTCAAATAAATAAACAACCTCTTAAAAAAATGAAAGGCTTTGTGTTTATGTGAGAGAAGTAACATGTCTAGATTATCAGATGACAGGAATCTCCCTAGTTTGTGTGTTCTGTGTACCTCTCTGCTGGGGAGGATAGGGAGGGAGATCCCACCCAAGAATACCCTTACTACAATCTTGACTAGCTTATGTCTTCCCTGCTAAGATGAGGTGGAGTAAGAACTGTTCTGGAAGACCCCCAGGGAAGCTGCTGTGTGGGTCACCATGAGGTTAGGGACAGAATTTTAACCAGTTTGCTGGTGCAGCCTAGGTCACGCTATTTCCTGGAGTGACCCTTATCAGGGAAAGGGAAGCACTGAATACTGATATTTTAGAGCACAGACATTTCAGTCTCTCTTCAAGTTTAATTATTTACACTATGTTTTTGTTATCAGTGGCTGCTGGAAACCCAATGCAGTCAGTAAGTCTCAGTTTCTGTATCTGTAAACAGGGATAATAGCATGACCTCATGGAATGGTGCCCAGTGAAGGTACCAAAAGGGGGCAGAAATATTTCAGAATTCCTGGGACTCTCTCTCCTACTTTATCTGGGGATCATCTTCCAGCTTTCTATGTCTGTCCTTTGTTGCTATTCAAAATTTCAGTCAGTTATTTCTTAATTTTTAAAAAAAGTTCTTATTTACTTGAGAGAGAGAGAGAGAGAGAGCACTAGAATGGGTAGACAGAGCAGCAGACAGAGGGAGAGAGAGAAGCAGACTCCCTGTCGAGCAGGGAACCTGATGTGGGGTTCAATTCCAGGACCCCAGGACCACAACCTGAGCCAAAGGCAGATGTTTATCCAGCCGAGTCTCTAGGAGCCATTAATTATCTATTTGTAGGGCTCTATTGTACCCTGGATTCCATAGGTATACCACATAATCTACAGTTTCTCAGGCCTTGTAGACAAAGAACATGGGTCAGACTTATGATAATGAGCGGGTATAATTTCCAGATTATGTTCTCAGACCATTCCCATTAGTAATGTTGCCTGGTCACCAAAGACCCACAGGCAAGGACACAGGTAGCCCAGTAATTTCACCTCTACCAACTCAACTCTACCAACCTTTCTGGTTGTCCTCTGAGCTTATAGTGCTTTGAGGGGGACTAGGTTCATAGTGTTGATTAGTACACAGACTGTGCCCTTGAGAAGCTCTCTGTAAGGCTAATAGATGTCCAGGGCCTGGAAGGTAGAAAAGGTAATAATAGAACAGGGACTGGGGGACAGAAATTTCCCAGAGGATGAAGTGGTTATATCTGTTCAAGGATATTGAGGAGGAAAGACTCTAACAGAGGGGATTCTGTTGGATCTAGGTTTGAAGGATGAGTAAGGATCCTTGTAGGGGGTATAAGGGCATTTCTAGGCAGAGAAGACAACATCAGTAAAGATGTGTAGATCTACACTTTCTTGTTTGCAGAGTTTCAAGTATTTAGAGGTGCAGGGAGCCATGCTGACAAGGACAGGTTAGAGATTGAAGGACAGTAATTTTAATGAGTTTCTGTAACCTTTGAGATAACTGATAACACTGAGTTGTTTATTGATTTCCCACAGGGTATGAACTCATAGAAGGTCAAACTTGGAGTGTCCAGGATGCTTTGTCAGCACTCATGGCTGGGGAACACCTGGGGGTGGAGCTCAGGTGGCCGCGCTACTGGCTGTTGCTCCAGCCCCACCCCCTTTTCAGTATATACATCCCAGCCTCACTGAATCACCGCTGGCGAGAGGGGAAGCTCCGCACCCACAGGCCGGCAAGGACTAACACACACTGCTGAACCGAAGCAGAGAGAATTCACAGAGAAAAAGTGGCCATGGACCTGATCCCAAGCTTTTCCATGGAAACCTGGCTTCTCCTGGCTACCAGTCTGGTCTTCCTTTATCTGTGAGTAACTGTGTGGGCTCATTGCCTCTGGAACCCTGGACTTGGGTTGCTAATCAGCATCCACCCCATTTTCCTTTTCTGCTTTGAGGATCAAAAGAGTTCACAAAGGGGAAGTTGCTTAAGTGTTGGCCACCACAAACATGCTAGGAACACATAAGAGGTTATTATTGACCTCACCAGATTGAAGGAGTGTCTCCCTCACCCCAACTCCAGTTGCTGTAGCCAGGAGGTAGAGTGACATTATTTACATCTAGGGATGAGCTTCTGATTGACTAGCAGCTTGGACCTAGACTAATCAATCATAATTTGGCAGAGGCAGAGTAAAGTCACCAGGTCTGGTGTTCTGGGGTCCTCAAGCCCTTCCCAAGCTGTGGGGATTCTGGACGCTGAGGGAGTGGCTGGAGTCTTTGTCTCATTATCTTCACCTTCTCCTCTCTGTTCACTATAGAGAGCATGTAGAAGGATGGAGCCTGTGTCATTTAGATGGTTCCTGCTCCCCTCCCTCCACTGCCAAGCACGATGTACACAAAGCACCTGTTGCAACCAGACTTACAGGGTGTTGAACATGCCTCACCTTCCTCTCTCGACTGGGCTCTTCCTTCTTTTCTGCCCTTCTCCTGGCCATAGCCTCCTCCCCCCATAATATACGTAATATATAATATATACATACTATACCCCTAAATGAGCATCTTTAGAGTTGAGAAGACATGGCAGATTTCTTAACATTTTATTCATCTCACCTTTTCTTTCCAGTCTCTGGGAGGGTTTGCATCAGTATGGAGATTTCTTTACTCATGATATGAAATCTGCCAGTGGACACAATGACCGAGTCCTGGAAGCCAATTTGGATTTTGAATTGTTTTTACCTTTATGTTATAGTACAGTAGGAAGAGTCTAACCATATATCAGAGGACTTCCTTTCAGTGGTGGGTTTTCCAGCATCATGGAACAGGTTGGGAAAGGACATAGTTTCACAGTGGGGATAGAGACAGACCGTTGATGTCACATTTGACCTCTGTCTCAATTTCACATTCTTTAAGTGTAGGAAATCATGAGGATATGAACATATAATATGGAAACCTCATTTTCATTTCCTGAGAGAAAGGTTAGTAATGCCAGGTATTGTGGCAACACATATTCTGTGTGATAACATTTGAGGGGCGGTGGACAGAGAGAGAGAAGACTAGAAGATATATTTGAGCAAATCATAGCTGAGAATTTCCCTGTTCTGGGGAATGAAACAAGCATTCGTGTCCTAGAGGAAGAGAGGAACCCCAAGATCAAGGAGGAAGAGATTCCTTTCATACAGAGGGAGGAACATCAGAATAATGTGAGACTTGTCCACAGAGACCTGGAAAGCCAGAAAGGGCTGACAAGACACATTCAGCATACTAAATGAGAAGAACATGGAGCCAAGAATACTTTATCTGGCAAGGCTGTTATTTAGAATGATGGAAAGCTAAAGAGTTTCCAAGAACAGCAGAAACTGAAAGAATATGTGGCCACTGAGCCAGCCCTGCAAGAAATATTCAGGGGGGTTCTATAAAAGGAGAAAGACCCCAAGAGTGATATAAAAGAGAAATTTATGGAGACAATCTATGGAAATAAGGACTTCACAGGCAACATGATGACAATAAAATCATGTCTTTCAATAATCACTCAACGTGAATGGCCTAATGCTCCCATAAAATGGCACAGGGTTGCAGATTGGATATTAAGACAGGACCCATCCATATGCTGTCTATGAAAGACTCTAAAAAAGTCTCTACAAAAGAAAGACTCTACAAAAGATTCTAAAGAACCTATAGATACTTCCAGACTGAAGGTGAAGGGATGAAGAACCATCTTTCAAAAGACCTCAAAAGAAAACTGGGGTAGCAATTCTCATATCAGACAAATTAGATTTTAAGCTAAAGACTGTCGTTAGAGATACAGAAGGACACTATATCATTCTTTTTTAAAAAGATTTTATTTATTTGTCAGAGAGAGAGAGAGAGAGCACAGGCAGACAGAGTGGTAGAGGGAGAAGCAGACTCCCTGCGGAGCAAGGAGCCCGACGCGGGACTTGATCCCAGGACGCTGGGATCATGACCTGAGCCGAAGGCAGCCGCTTAACCAACTGAGCCACCCAGGCATCCCAGGACACTATATCATTCTTAAAGGGTCTATACAACCAGGAGATCTAACAACTGTAAATATCTGTGCCCACAACATGGGAGCAGCCAACTACATAAGCCAATTGTTAACCAAAGTAAAGAGACATATTGACAATAATACGTTAATAGTAGGAGATCTCAATACTCCATCTCAGTAAGAGACAGATAATCTAAGCAGAAAATCAACAAAGAAACAAGAGCTTTGAATGACACACTGGACCAGATGGACCTCACAGATATATACAGAACATTCCGCTCTGAAACAACAGAATACTCACTCTTCTTGAGCGCATTGAACTTTCTCCAGAATAGACCATATACTGGGTCACAAATCAGGTCTCAACTGATACCAAAAGACTGAGATTTTCCCCTGCATATTCTCAGACCACAGTACTTTGAAACTGGAACTCCATCACAAGAAAAAGTTTGGAGGAAATTAAAACACTGGGAAGCTAAAGACCATCCTGCTCAAGAATGTTTGAGTCAACCAGGAAATCAAAGAAGAACTTAAACAATTCATGAAAACCAATGGGAATGAAAACACTCCAGGCCAAAACCTATGGGATACAGCAAAGGCAGTCCTAAGGGGGGAATACATAGTTACTCAATCCTCACTCAAAAAACCCCAGAAAAATCCCAAATACAAAAACTATCTTTACATATTAAATAACTGGTGAATCAACAACAAATTCAGCCTGACCCATGCTCAAGGAGGGAAATAGTTAAGATTAGCACAGAGATCAATGAGTTAGACACCAGACATACAAAAGATTAATTGATATAGTTTAATTTCATTCTATTTAATAATAGGTTTTCTACTGAGATAAGACTATTCCCAGCATGTTCTTTCTGAACAACACAACAGGGTTGTCGGTTCAGCTTTTGTGACTATAAAGGTACATATCTAACCTTAGCCTTCTAGAGTAATGTTGGCATTATGAATTTGGTGTACCCACATGTACTTCTATGGCCTAGATTGTATATTTTTTAGTTACATGGACACAGCAGATTATTTTAACCTCCCTGCACAGGTGACTAGTGAGACTGTGAGCCAGTACTGATGTGAGAAGCATCCAGGTAGGACTCTGGGATGGAGTAGGAGAATATTCCTCCTTCAGAGCAGACCTCTGAGAGATACTCCTTGATCCTGTCCTACAGAAGATTGTCATGGGACCACAGGATTAGCATCTCATCTGCTAGAGGCCAAGAGACAGGACCATTATATATATGTCACACTGTGTGAAGTCTGTCTGGCAGTGGGTCTGTCCCTGGATACTGTCACCACCAGGCAAACAACCATGTAGACTTAGAAGACACTGGTATGCCAGGTGTTATTGCCTATAGACAATACCTTCCACATGCCAGTGTAATGTAAAGGCAAGAAAAATGAGTGGCTTTATTTTAACTCCCCCGTTTGTACCAAAAGCAACATGACTCTACCAAGAAGAGGGAGACTGGAAACCATCAGAAAAATTTACCCAGCCCACCCTCTGCTCCTTTGTATGGAGCCATGTGAGTTTAGACACTAGACCAGATCATTCCTTGGGTCACATCACTCATTTGCTTGGCCTCACTTGGGAGTTCATGGAGCATGTCAAATGTTCAGAAACAGGAATTGATAATTTGTGGTGGTGAGGCAAAGAAGGAATGGAGGTGGGATGAGGCCACTCCGGCTTCTGGCAGTTGGTGTTCCTGCGTCCAACTGTTCTGGGAGAAGGATCCAAACACCCAACTGTTCCTGGCTGAGGTGCCTCTGCTGGTTCCTCAAACCCAGTTCCTCTCTTGCAATTTTGGGGAATTATTTGATTATATAAGATTTGCTGGATTTGTACAGAGTATCTGGAACCTGTAGTGACTTTAAGGCTAGCCTCCAGAGAAGAGGAGACAAGGTCTTAATTCTAATCTTGGAATATGTTATTATTACTCATTTTATGTTGCATAACATGATTATGCTGTTAACTAGAGGTATCTGGACTTTGGAAGGCCCCTTATCAGTCAGCTTAAACACCTACAGGGCTTGTTGAGCCATTTCTTCCAAACATTCTTTTGTAGAACACTTTCCTAATTTGCCTCTATGGGTTTAGCTGTAGGCCTAGCAAGTTATGATTAAAATGGTTTCTGGCAGCTTCTTCCCTCAACCTGTCTTCTTCCTCCACTCTGCCATCTCTCAGCAATACATAATTGTAAATCTTGCAAGGATCCAGAATCCTAATTGTGGGATTCCACACATGACCCATGAAAGATGATCATAGACAAGCTTGCTGTAGGGTGTACAATCCATAATGGGTTTCTGAGACAGCTGATGCACAGAGTCAGTAAATGAACTGCTTTGCAAGTGACCATCTTGAAAAAAAAAAAAAGAGTGTATCTGTTGATACACTGGTTGAAGGACCAGATGCCATAAGGGGAAGAATGGTTTGGAAACATATTGTTTCCTTACTGATTCTTTTATATGGTATTATTTAGGGCACCTATGGGTCAGTCCCCTTCTCAGCAGCTCAAGAGAACCAGAGCACCTGACAACAGAGACTTGGGTGGAGCTGAAAGCATCTCACTTTTCAATGAGTCCAGTGGAGCCTTGGACACATGGTATAGAAAGAGAAAACTGTTGTTCAAGGTGTCTCAATGAAGATAGATTTAAGAAGGACCAGATCTCACACAGTGATAGGTCCTACAAGGAAGGTAAAACACAAAAGTCTCTGAGCAAACTGCAACACACTTTCATGGTAGGTTCTCACAAACCCTCTATTATTGAGTGGATATAATTAAACAAAATCTCATTATCAGAACAGAAAGAAATTTTTCTTCTCCATAGAGCAAGTTATGGAAGAGTCATTTACTAAATAGGCATGGGTGAATTTTCTGGAAGAAATCAGCCTTGAAGGAGCACTCAAGTGTGGAAACACTTATCAAGTCTTCACTTTAGGATTGGGACCGTGAAGATTTCAGCTGCACTTACCCCATCATCATTATGTTTTGTGGGGCTCACAGTGGAGGAGGGAAAGGAGATGATGAGTCAATGTAATTATTGCTGTTGAAATTGATCTTATTTCTTGCCTATATGTTACCTCCCTCCCTTGCCTGCCCAGCTCTATGTTAGTGACTAGCCACCCTCAGCTTATGCCACCATTCCTGTGACCTGGCTTTCTCTTTCACTTCATAGATATGGGACCTCCACACATGGACTTTTTAAGAAGCTGGGAATTCCTGGGCCAAAACCTCTGCCTTTTGTGGGAACTGCTCTGGCCTACCTTAAGGTGAGTGTTCTTTGAGATCCCTCTTTTGCATCTTATATTTGCTAATCCTAGCTTAACTCCATAGTGAATACTCTCCTCCTCAGGAGAAGTACTTAGGTTTCAGACTTCCCAGAAGTGGTGTCACAGGCTCCACCCAACACTTGGCCAGGTCTACCCCAGGGCTCTATTCTCTGCTGTTTGGAGCCTCAGAGTTTGCCTCAGTGGGCAACCCAGCTCTCTGGCTGCTTCAACCCAGGACTTACTGTTCTAGCTTGTGAGCATCGGGAAGAAGCTTTTATTTCTGGTAAGTGCAGATTCCCAGGAAGGCACTACCATACTTGGTATGAGTAGAAAAGTATCAAGGGGGTCCATGCTAGTGGTCCATTAAGCTGTGTATGCTAGAGTCAGACTTTTCTGTTCATTGTATAAGCTCTGGGCCACCTTTTGTTTTGCTGGATAGCTCTAGAACTTCATTTTATTGGGCAGCCCAAAATCCACCTTTGGGAATGTGCACACACTTGAACCATCTCAAGAATTGCCAACCCCCCGCAGTTATTTCCAAACTCTAACTCATCCATTGCTAATGGTGACATCTCTGGGGATTTGAGAGGTTGACCCAGAGCTTTCTGTTTTACTTCTCTACCTTCTTTGTGGGTACCTTTTGGGTGAGTTGAGCAGAGAGGAAGTTTTGCTGAGGGGAGATGGTGCTTGTCTATTGACTTCGTATTTTAACATTTGATTGAGGTGTGTGTATGCATGTGCTGTTTTTCACACAAAGGTAGAACCGTGCATACAAAATCACTAGAAAAGAAATGCTTTGATAAAATTATTAAGAAATTAATGTACTTAGAGGAGATGCAACATGGGGGGTTAAGGGGGTAGGAGAAGAGTAAATGAAACAAGATGGGATTGGGAGGGAGACAAACCATAAGTGACTCTTAATCTCACAAAACAAACTGAGGGTTGATGGGGGGAGGGGGAGTGGGGGGGTGGGGTTATGGACATTGGGGAGGGTATGTGCTATGGTGAGTGCTGTGAAATGTGTAACCTGGCGATTCACAGACCTGTACCCCTGGGGATAAAAATATATTATATGTTTATAAAAAATAAAATTAAAAAAAAAGAAATTAATGTACTTAATGGGATGTACTAGCAGAAACACAGACTGATATTGGTGGAGCCATTGTGGCTCATGTAGCTCCTATGCCTCATGGGAGGCCCTGCCCCTGAAGGTTAGGAGCTCATATCAGAAGGTGAGCTGACAGTCTCATGTGCAGGCTGCTCTCTGCTGTGGAGTTCCTTTCGCCCAGACCTGAGGCTTGTTTCTCAGATCCCACTTCTCCCCACTGAGACCCTCGGTGCCCAATATCATCTAATACCTTCCTGGACTTTTTCTCTCTGAAAAAGCAGTAATTCCATTCCACTTTTCTCAGATGAACTCCTTAGTACCAGCACCCTAAGATCCACATTTCTGGGACCCTGTTTTGCATGATTAGAACATCAAAATCACAGCTGAAGCTTAGGACAGGAAGTTTTATTGTTTTTTCTTAAGTGACAAAACTGGAAACTCCTATCAAGTTTTCTAATTTGTTCTCCCCCTTGTGGAGTGGTGGCCTGGTCCCCTCTTTCTGTGGGGAGCTGGATGAGTGAAAGGTGAGGCTGCCTTATTCATTCACTCATCTCTCACTTTCTCACTCAACAAACATGTTTAGAGTTATGTAAATTTGCTAGATGAAAAGAGGTCACTGGTGTCTTAATTTCCTAAATCCATTGGAATTTCAGTTGGGCTTTTGAGATCAATGAACAGGATGCTGACTGGGGGTTCAGAGTGTGCAGGCCACACCGATGTTCCCTCAGCTTTTGTTTTTCCCATGTGGCTCTAGGTAATAATATAGAGGGTTCTGAGATTTAGAGACACACATGCACAAGCCAAACATGCCAGAAATACAGAGGTTCTGTAGCCTTGACAGACAGGGTGAGTTGTTCAATATCTGCAATATGTGGAGGGGATTCAAGAGGGACTTGAATTTTTCCATTTCAATATCTTCTTGTTTTCTCTTCTTTCCAGTAAGACATCTGTGAATAAGAGCTTCCCTCTCACAGCCAGTGAGAGGTAGTAAGCTGCATTTCATGTGGTCTGGGTCATTTTTGTCCCTGTTGGAGGTAGGACTCAGTATGTTTAGATTAGTAATATGTTTTGTTTCTTCTTGCAGGGTTTTTCTGTTTTTGACGAGACATGTTTTAGAAAGTATGGAAGAATGTGGGGGTGAGTATTCTGGAAAATTTCATTGGATAGGCTTATTATGATGAAGCCCTCGTGTTGTGAACAGTTTCTATTGAGAGCCCTTTGGGATAAAGCCTGCTGTAGTAAAGCTTCTGGAACCTCTGATTCCTGAGATCCCATGTGTCACCAGGTGTGCAGGTCTAAGTATGAATTGGACCTGGAGAGGTATATGGGGTGCTGGGCCACTCACAGCCAGTGTTGTACCCCTCTGTACCTCCTTATCTTCTGTGGTCATGTCCTCAGAAACCAGAGGACTCTGCTGAGTTGCTTTAGCCCATAAGCAATATGGTGGCATAGAAAGAACCCAGATCTCAGGATAACCAGTGGTTCAGCTCCACTGCCCCTTCCCACATTCAGTCCTGGTCAGCTCTGGATGGAGCCAGTCTTATATCATGGACCTTAGTTCTGCCAATAGTACATGGTCTCATGGTTGACTGTGGATAAGAACCACATGGGAGAGCTTGTTAAAAAGGCAGATTCTTTGTTTCCATCTCTCAGAATGCTGAATCTGGAGGATATGGGGGTCTGTCCCAAGAATCTGAATTTAACTAGTAGTGGAAGCAATGTTAGGACTGGGTGAGACCATAAATATAAAGCGTTAACACATACCATCATGGGGGAGGGGAGGAAAAACTGATGGGAAGACATCAGAGAGCAAACCAAACCATGAGACTGTTGACTCCGGGAAACAAACTGAAGACTGTGGAAAGGGAGGTGATTGGGGGGATGGCGTAACTGGATGATGGGCATTAAGGAGGGTACATGATGTGATGAGCACTGGGTGTTATATGCAACTAATGTTGAACATTATACCAAAAACTAATGATGTGCTATATGTTGGCTAATTGGATTAAAAAAAAAAAAGCTAAGGTGAAAGACATCTCTTAAAAAAAAAGGTTACCCCAAAGCACTGTCCCTTGTCCACCCACATGTTTCTGAAGAAACATGATGGGACAAGGGGAATCATCCCAAGAAATATGATCAGGCTGCTGGGAGGGCAGACCTGAGTGCCACCTCAGTAACTGCTATCACTGCTTTAACACTAAATGTACCCAACCCCCACTGCAACCTTCTGAGTTTTAGAATACTTTTTGGAGATGGGTCATATTTAGTGTAGTGGTCTCATCCATTTTTAGATGTGATCATGAAACCATTTGAAAATCCTCTATGACGTCAAGGAAAGAATAGGGGACTTGTGGAAAATCTTTCAGTTTGTTCTAGTAAATGCAAATGCAGTTTGTTCTAGTAAATAGTGGAAACAAAATAAATTTTACTTATTTATGGTATAATTAAGCTTAAAGTAAACCTCATGCTGGTGACAGATTCCCATTAACAGGCCTCATACTGACAATCAAGTCAGGCTGGATAAGGATGGATCACATATAAAGAAGATGTGGTATATATATACAATGGAATACTCTGCAGCCATCAAAAAACACCCAAATCTTGCCATTTGCAATGATATGGATGGAACTAGAGGGTATGATGCTAAGTGAAATAAGTCAACCAGAGAAAGACAATTATCATATGATCTCTCTGGTATGAGGAATTTAAGAGGCGGGGGGTGGGGTTCGGGGTCATGGGGGGAAGGGAGGGAAAAAATGAAACAAGATGGGATTGGGAGGGAGACAAACTATAAGAGACTCTTAATCTCAGGAAACATACTGAAGGTTGCTGGGGGGTGGCGGGTGAGGGGTAGTGGGGCTGGGTTGTGGACATTGGGGAGGGCATGTGCTGTGGTGAGCGTTGTGAATTGTGTAAGACTGATGATTCACCTGAAGCAAATAATACATTAAATGTTATATGTTATATGTTATAATTTTTAAAAAAAGGATGGATCACATATAAAGAGTCACTTTGTGTGAGACATGTGCAAAAGTGGGCATGTCCTGCTGCTTAAAGATGTCACATGAAGCCCAAAGAACTCACACCTGGGACTCACATATAAGAATAAATATAAGTAATAAAAGGAAATATATTCAAAATGAGTTACACTTTTCTGTATTTCTTTGTCCTCTTTTCTTTTGTTTGAAAAATTTCTGACATAATGCTGTCAAGGATCTCTCTCAATATTAAAAATAATACTTCCTTTTGAGTGTAACTGGGAAGCATATTTTAGTATATAGGGCAAAGAAATAATTCATAATTTAACCATCACTTCTTGAGCATTCCAAGTCTTTTCATTTGCAGACACATCTTCCATATATGTGGTCAGTGTATGCACAATTTTCATTTAATATTCTCTCTAATGTCTTTCATGTTTGATACAGCTTTAATATTATAATGTTTAGTTACTGGGTAGATGGATTCTCCATTTTTTTTGTTCCTAGATAATTTACTTACTTTCAGTTATTTACCACCCTCACTTCCTTTTTGTTAATATAGATAAATTATTTTAAATGCTTGACATACTTCTAAAATATTTACAATATTTTATTTTTTATTTTTATTGTTAGTCACCATACAATATGTCATTAGTTGTTGATGTAGTGCTCCATGATTCATTGTTTGTGTATAACACCTGGTGCTCCATGCAATACTTGCCCCCTTAATATCCATCGCCAGGCCAACTTATCTCCCCCGCCTTTCTAAAATCCTGTTTGTTTTTCGGAGTCCACAGACTCTCATGGTTCATCTCCTCCTCCAATTTCCTCCCTTAACTTTTGCCTCTCTTCTCCTAATGTCCCCCATGTTATTCCTTATGTTCCACAAGTAAGTGAAACCATATGATAATTGTCTTTCTCTGTTTGACTTATTTCACTCAGCATAATCTCCTCCAGTCCCATCCATGTTGATGCAAAAGCTGGGTATTCATCCTTTTTGATGGCTGAGTAATATTCCATTGGATATATGGACCACATCTTCTTTATCCATTTGTCTGTTGAAGGGCATCTCTGCTCCTTGCACCTTTTGGCTATTGTGGACATTGTTGTTATGAACGTTGGGTTGCATATGGCCCTTCTTTTCACTACATCTGTATCTTTGGGGTAAATACCCAGGAGTATAATTGCTGGGTCATAGGGTAGCTCTATTTTTGATTTTTTGAGGAACCTCCACACTGTTTTCCAAAGTGGCTGCACCAATTGCATTCCCACCAACAGTGTAAGAGGGTTCCCCTTTCTCCACATCCTCTCCAGGATGTTGTTTCCTTCCTTGTTAATTTTGGCCATTCTAACTGGTGTGAGGTGGTATCTCAATGTGGTTTTGATTTGAATGTCCCTGATGGCGAGTGATGTTGAACAGTTTTTCATGTGTCTGTCAGCAATTTGTATGTCTTCTTTGGTGAAGTTAAAAAATTTTTTTTTCAAATAAAATATTTTATTTTTATTGGTAGCTATTTTAACATGACAAACACATACAATGTGATGTTCTCTAAGTCTTGAATAAGTGTAAACCTTACTCTTTTTTTATTATGTTAGTCACCACACAGTACATCATTAGTTTCTGATGTAGTGTTCTGTGAATCATTGTTTGAGTATAACAGCTATTGCTCCATGCAATCCATGCCTTCCTTAATACCCATTGCCAGGCTCAACCATTCCCCTGCTCCCTCCCTTCTCAATTCCTCAGTTTGTTTCCTGGAGTCCATAGTCTCTCATGGTTTGTCTCCCCCTCCAATTTCCCCCCTTCATTTTTCCTTCCTTCTTCTAATGTCCTCCATGCTATTCCTTGTGTTCCACAAATAAGTGAAACCATATGATAATTGACTTTCTCTGCTTGACTTATTTCACTTAGCATAATCTCCTCCAGTCCCATCCATGTTGATGCAAAAGTTGGGTATTCATCCTTTCTGATGGCTGAGTAATATTCCATTGTATATATGAACTATATGTTATTTTTTTAAATTAACATATAATGTATTATTAGCCCCAGGGGTACAGGTCTGTGAATCACCAGTTTTACACACTTCACAGCACTCATCCTAGCACATACCTTCCCCAGTGTCCATAACACCACCACCCTCTTCCTACCACTCTCCACCAGCAACCCTCAGTTTGTTTTGTGAGATTAAGAGTCTCTTATGGTTTGTCTCCCTCCCGATCCCACCCCCAAGCCCCCCGCATTGCATCTTCACTTCCTCATATCAGGGAGATCATATGATAGTTGTCTTTCTCCGATTGACTTATTTCACTAAGCATAATACCCTCTAGTTCCATCCACATCGTCACAAACGAACCACATGTTCTTTACCCACTCGTCTGTTAAAGGGAATCTCCGCTCTTTCTACAGTTTGGCTATTGTGGACATTGCTGCTATGAACATACAAAAAATTATGGAGAATGGTCCAGGAAATACCCATGTACACATCTAAACTTAATAATTGTTTTAATGTTTTTTTCTAACCATGATCTCAGAGAATGATTAGGTATGTTCAGGATAAAAGTCTATTTCCAATGAAGACATACAAATGGCGATCAGACACATGAAAAAATGTTCATCATCACTAGCCATCAGGGAGATTCAAATTAAAACCACATTGAGATACCACCTTACACCACTTAGAATGGCCAAAATTAGCAAGACAGAAAACAACATGTGCTGGAGAGGATGTGGAGAAAAGGGAACCTTCTTACACTGTTGGTGGGAATGCAATTGGTGCAGCCACTTTGGAGAACAGGGTGGAGATTCCTCAAGAAATTACAAATAGAGCTTCCCTATGACCCTGCAATTGCACTCCTGGGTATTTACCCCAAAGATACAGATGTAGTGAAAAGAAGGGCCATCTGTACCCCAATGTTTATAGCAGCAATGGCCATGGTCGCCAAACTGTGGAAAGAACCAAGATGCCCTTCCACGGTGAATGGATAAGGAAGATGTTGTCCATATACACTATGGAGTATTATGCCTCCATCAGAAAGGATGAATACCCAACTTTTGTAGCAACATGGATGGGACTGGAAGAGATTATGCTGAGCGAAATAAGTCAAGCAGAGAGAGTAAAGTATCATATGGTTTCACTTATTTGTGGAGCATAACAAATAATATGGAGGACATAGGGAGATAGAGAGGAGATGGGAGTTGGGGGAAATTGGAAGGGGAGGTGAACCATGAGAGACTATGGACTCTGAAAAACAATCTGAGGATTTTAAAGGGGCAGCGGGGGTGGGAGGTTGGGGGAGCCAGGTGGTGGGTATTAAGGAGGGCACGTATTGCATGGAGCACTGGGTGTGGCACAAAAACAATGAATTCTGTTATGCTGAAAAGAAATTAAAAAAATAAAAAAAAAGGACAACAACAAAAAAATAAAAGTAAAGCTCTTTATATTAAAAAAAATATTCTACTTCCAGGCATGACTGCACTGTAGAAACTGTCATGTTAAGTGTAATCAGGTCTGTTTCCCCCACACAGGTTTTATGATGGGCGACAGCCTGTGCTGGCTATCACAGATCCGGACATGATCAAAACAGTATTAGTGAAAGAATGTTATTCTGTCTTCACAAACCGGCGGGTAAGCATGGATGTATTTTAAATTTACATAGTTAGATATAAAACTTTTATTTCAAAATAAGAATAGATTCACAGGTAGTTGTCACAGGAGGTCCCATGTCATGGAGCCTTAAGGCCATTTACTTTATGGTAATATCCTGCATAACCATAGTACAGTGTCCAAGCTGAATTTGACATTGGTTCTAGTCAAGAACTTAGACTTCAACAGTTTTATATGCACTCATATTTGCCATCCTGTTTTTTTTTTCATTTTTTTATTATGTTATGTTAGTTAGAGGCAACCCACAGAATGGGAGAAGATATTTGTAAATGACATTACAGATAAAGGGCTGGTATCCAAGATCTATAAGAAGTTAGTTGTAGTTTTTAAAATTATTTGTGTTTTAAGCTTTTCCTAGGGATATAAGTAATTTTTATATCACCAGTACAATATCACTATGTTCTGAATTTAGACATTTGTATTTACCAGTGAGATTTATAATTTCACGTGATTTCATGTTACTACTAACAGCCCTTTTGTTTTTTCAGCTTGAAGAACTCCTTAATATTTCCTGTAAGGCAGGCTTAGTGGTAATGAATTGTGTCTACTTTTTTTTGTCTGGAAATGTCTTTTTCTCTCTCTCATTTTTGAAAGCCTTATTTTTCTGGGTAAGGTATTCTTAGTTGGTATTTTTTTTTTACTTGACAGAGGGAGAGAGAGATCACAAGCAGGCAGAGCAGCAGGCAGAGAGAGAGAGGGGGAAGCAGGCTCCCTGCTGAGCAGAGAGCCAGATGCAGGGCTTGATCCCAGGACCCTAAGATCATGACCTGAGCCGAAGGCAGAGGTTTAACCCACTGAGCCACCCAGGTGCCCCTCTTAGTTGGTATTTTTAATAGCATTTCAAATAAATCACCTACTGTCTTCTGCCTTTCATGATTTCCACTGAGGATTCCACTGGTAGCCGCATGGTGTTCCCTTGGATGTGATGAACTCCTTTTCTCTTGCTGCTTTCAAGATTTTTGGGGGGTTTAATTTTTGATAGTTTTATTATAAAGTCTCTTGGAGAAGTCCTATTCAGATTCAATCTTATTGAGGGCTTTAAGCCTCATGACCCAAGATTTCCATACCTTTCTCTATGTTTGAGAAGTTTTCAGCCATTGTTTCTTTCAGTAAGGTTTCTGCCCATTCCTCTCCTCGCCTGCTGGGACTCCCATAATGTGAATGTTGTTTCACTTGATGGTGTCCTATAAGTCCTGTAGGCTTTTCCCCAATTCTTCTCATTTTTGTTCCCCACTCTGACTGGATAATTTAAAATAATCTGGGAGGGCATAGTTAGTTCATGCATTTGGGGTCCACACCTTGAGCAACTGCATGATCCTTGGCAGCAAGAGTTTAGCTGGGTTTAGCTGTGGTCTCATGTGTCAGTGTAGTCCAGAGACAGGAGTCAGGCCTGGCTTCAGGCCCAGAAACTGCTGGGGCTTGGGCTGGTGTCCATATGCCCAGTCATAAAGGCGAAGACTGGCTGGTGGTATAGATTTGGGGCTCACAGTGTTGGTGGTGGCACTGGTACGGCAACTCATGTGAGTGCAGGGACACAACAGGACTCTGGCATCTTGTGTTTGCAAGTGTGAAAACCTCTGGGACTATCAGCAGCAAAATCTTAGAGGGTACACAGTGCTGGGCCAGCTGTTCGCCTCAGCAGCAAAGCCTGCCGGAGACTTCTGCAGAGCAGGACACAGAGAAGCATGGTCACTCCTTTCACTTGACTGATACTGGTAGTCCTGCCCTTCTTTATTCCTAGCTGTGACCAGCTGTGTCAGCCATGCCAGTCTCTGGGAGGTTTGAAACCAGAACAGGTCATTTGTGCCGTGCCCTGAAGGCTGGGGCTAATGGTCGCTCACCCTTCTGCTGTTCCCCAGGAAGGGGAACTATCTCAGGTGAGAGGGGTCCTCTTGGTGCTGAGCAGTGCTGGCCTGGGTCATGGGGTGATGCAGGCAAAATAAAGCTCTTCTCCCTACTTTTCTTGTACAGTTATTCTCAGGAGTTTTGCTCCACTGTGTTGTTGAAGCTTCTTAAATGGACTCCTAAGCCCTTGAGCCTATTTTTGTTTCTGGATAGCTGCCTGATTGTTGTTTTTTGTGGGGTGATAGAGGCTGAAGTGTCCTGTTTTATCATCTAAGGATATAACATCAGTCTTTCCTCACTGGGGTGATGTTAGGTGTAAGGTTTTTAGATGCTTGTTATTTTTTTTTTATTTTTTTTTTTTTAAGTCCTCACAGGGCCTCGCTCTGACGTCTTATCTATCTCCCCTTCACTTGTAAAGACCTTTGTAGTGGCACTGGGCCCACCTGGATTATGCAGGATAATTTCTCTACCACAAATTCCCCTTTGCTGAACATACTTGCAGGTCCTGGGGACTTTTGGGGGCTACATTCTGCCTACCAAGTTACCTTCAGAGCACTGTAATAATTAAAGATAATGTTCTAAAACTCCTAGTGTAGTGTCAGGTGCATAGTAAGTTCTTGGTAAGTGGCAGTGTTCATCATTGGTACTGCCTAGTTGACTAAGGTCTTGTCAACCTTGGACATTCTAAGTAAAATGTTTTGCTAATAGCTTTATGTTTTGATCATTAAGAAGTAGGTTCCAAGATATAAGATCATATTAGATGCTTGTTATTAAGTTGAGGAACTTTCTGTCTCTTCCTCATTTGTGAGTTTTTATCATGAAATGGTGTTGAATGTATCCATTTCATTTTTTATCTTCATTTTATTGTAATTAAAAATTTTGGGGGGGTGGATGTCTGGGTGGCTCAGTTGGTTGAGCATCTGACTGGCTCATATTGTGATCCTGGGGTCCTGGGATCTAATTCTGACTCAGGCTTCTTGCTCAGGGGGAGCCTGCTTTTCCCTCTGCCTGCTGCTCCCCCTACTTGTGCTGTCTCTCTCTCTCTCTCTCTGAAAAAAAATCTTAAAAAAATTTTTAAATTTAAATTCAATTTAAGTAACATGTGCTATATTATTAGTTTCAGAGGTAGAATTCAGTGATTCATCAGTTGCATACAATATCCTGTGCTCATTATATCAAGTGCTCTCCTTAATGCCCATCATCCTGTCACCCCATTCCCCACCAGCAACTTTTAGTTTGTTCCCTATAGTTCCCTTTAGTTAAGAGTATCTTATGGTTTTCCTCCATCTCTGTTTCCCTCTTGTTTTATTTTTCCTTCCCTTCTGATACGTTCATCTTTTTTTTTTTTTTTTTGACAGAGAAAGAGTGAGAGAGCACAAGCAGGGAAGAGAAGCAGAGGGAGTGGGAGAAGCAGCCTCCCCACTGAGCAGGGAGCTCGATGTGGGATTCCATCCCACAACCCTAGGATCATGACCTGAGCCACACATACACCCCTTTATATTTTTTAAATTCCACATATTAGTGAGATCATATGGCGTTTGTCTTTCTCTCACTGAATTATTTCTCTTAGTATCATACCCTCCAGTTCTATCCATGTCATTGCAAATGGCAAGATTTCATTCTTTTTATGACTAAGTAATATTCCATTGTGTGTGTATATGCATGTATATACATGTATGTATGTATGTATGTGTGTATATATGTAGAAACATATATATATATATACACACACACACACACACACACACACACACACACACACACACACACCAGGTCTCTGTTTTCCATTCATGTGTCATGGACACCTGGGCTCTTTCTATATATTTTGGCAATTGTGGACATTGTTGCTATAAACATTGCAGTGCTATAAACATTGGGATTCAAATCACTATGTTTGTATCCTTCTGATAAATGCCTAGTAGTCCAATAGCTGGGTTGTAGGGTTGCTCTATTTTTTTATTTTTTATTTTTTAAATTTTTATTTTAATTTCAGTTAGTGAATATACAGTGTTACATTATTTCAGGTGTACAATATCATGATTCAAAAAGTCCATACATCACCTGGTGTTCTTTACAAATGCATTCTTAATTCCCATTAGCTATTTCACCCATCGACACCACCGATCTCCCCTCTAGTAGCCATCAGTTTGTTTTCTATCATTAAGAATCTTCTCTTGGCTTGTTTCTCTATCTTTCTCTTCTTCTTCTTTTTTTTCTTTTTTAAATTCCTCATAAGTGTGAAATCATAGGCTATTTGTCTTTCTCTGGCTGACTTACTTTGCTTAGCATAGTAGTCTCCAGTTTGCTAAACTAAAACATTGTAGTTTTAATTTGCATTTCCTTGTGGGTGAGTGATGTTGAACATCCTTTCATATATCTGTTGGCTATCTTGATGTTTTCTGTTGACAAATGTCTATTCATGTCTTTTGCCCATTTTTAAATTAGATTACTTTTTTTTTTAATTTAAAAATGAGTTGCTCTATTTTTAAGTTTTTGAAATATCTCCATACTGTTTCCAAACTGGCTACATCAGTTTGCATTTCCACCAACAATGGAAGAGGGTTCCCTTTCTCAGCATCCTTGCCAACATCTGTTGTTCCCTGAGTTGTTAACTTTAGCCATGGAGATATCCATGTTAAAACAAAATATAGTTTGGGAAAATGGAAGAAATATTCAAACTGGTTGACTTGCTAGATGAAGAATAGAGTTATTTCTCTCCTTTTTCCTTATGTTCTTTTTCTTTTTTACTTTGAAGACACCTTTTTTAAAAAAAATTTTATTTCTTTTCAGTGTAACAGTATTCATTGTTTTTGCACCACACCCAGTGCTCCATGCAATCCATGCCCTCTCCAATACCCACCACCTGGTTCCCCCAACCTCCCACCTCCCACCCCTTCAAAACCCTCAGATTGTTTTTCAGAGTCCATAGTCTCTCATGGTTCACCTCCCTTTCCAATTTCCCTCAACTCCCTTCTCCTCTCCATCTCCCCTTGTCCTCCATGCTATTTGTTATGCTCCACAAATATGTGAAACCATATGATACTTGACTCTCTCTGCTTGACTTATTTCGCTCAGCATAATCTCGTCCAGTCCCATCCATGTTGATACAAAAGTTGGGTATTCATCCTTTCTGATGGAGGCATAATACTCCATAGTGTATATGGACCACATCTTCCTTATCCATTCGTCCGTGGAAGGGCATCTTGGTTCTTTCCACAGTTTGGTGACCGTGGCCATTGCTGCTATAAACATTGGGGTACAGATGGCCCTTCTTTTCACTACATCTGTATCTTTGGGGTAAATACCCAGGAGTGCAATGGCAGGGTCATAGGGAAGCTCTATTTTTAATTTCTTGAGGAATCTCCACCCTGTTCTCCAAAGTGGCTGGACCAGCTTGCATTCCCACCAACAGTGTAAGAGGGTTCCCCTTTCTCCACATCCCCTCCAACACATGTTGTTTCCTATCTTGCTAATTTTGGCCATTCTAAGTGGTGTAAGTTGATCTCTCAATGTGGTTTTAATTCGAATCTCCCTGATGGCTAGTGATGATGAGCATTTTGTCATGTGTCTGATAGCCATTTCTATGTCTTCGTTGGAGAAGTGTCTGTTCATATCTTCTGCCCATTTTTTGATATGATTGTCTGTTTTGTGTGTGTTGAGTTTGAAGAGTTCTTTATAGATCCTGGATACCAACCTTTTGTCTGTACTGTCCTTTGCAAATATCTTCTCCCATTCCATGGGTTGCCTCTTTGTTTTGTTGACTGTTTCCTTTGCTGTGCAGAAGCTTTTGATCCTTATGTTCTTTTGGGGAAAAATGGGGAAGAAATTTCCATGTTATTGTATCATTTTGTCACAAGAGTAAAGAGATTCCTTATCTTTTTACTGTTAACTACAATGTTTTTTTTTCTTAAATCACCATTTCAAGACATCCAGTTTTCAAGTTTCTCATGCTGTGGATATATGAAAAAGGTAGAACTGGTCTGAGGCAACATATAGTTTACCAGGCCCACTGACTACCTTCCACCAATCCAATTCTACTCTGCTCAGCTTAGGAGACTGTATTAGGTGTTAATCCTTTGTACTCCACTGGAGGAGTCCTTTCCCTTCCAAATGCTCTCATACAACATTTGCACTGAAATGAAGATGGAATATAAAGGCTGGAAAGCATAGCAGGTGGCTGGATGTGTCCCCAGCCTTGCAAAAGGCTAGGCCTTTGGGATAAGAATCTGTTGATCACCTACTATAGGGCCTACTACCAAGTTGATAATCACAAAATATTTGTTGAATAATTTCTGCCTGTTTAACAAATTTTCCACAACCTTTGAGACCTCCAAAACTTATGTAGGGCAAATTGTGTTTTTCTTTGGCTCTAGTCTTTTGGTCCAGTGGGATTTATGAAAAGTGCAATCTCTTTGTCTGAGGATGAAGAATGGAAGAGGATGCGAACATTGCTGTCCCCTACTTTCACCAGTGGAAAGCTCAAGGAGGTAAGAAAAGAAGACATTCAATTAGAAAGTAAGGAATACATCTGGGAACAGGTAGGAAATAAAAATCATAGTCCATCTCTAAGGGGAAGTCTGCTGAATTTGGGCTTCGTAAAAATGGTCTTTTCATGTCCTACAAGAGACACAATAAGATTTGTTATTACAAATCACTGCTCCATGCTTGTGAAAGCCACATCATTCTAGGACTTGATCCTTGGATTTAACTTCAGGAGGTTTTGTGTTTTGTGTGTAGATGTTCTTCATCATTGACCAGTATGGAGATGTGCTGGTGAGGAACCTGAGGAAGGAGGCTGAGAAAGGCAAGCCTATCAACTTGAAAGAGTAAGTAGGAGTGCAGCTGCTAGGATTCCAACTCTGTCATAACATTTTCCAGCTGCTGCCACAGAGCAAAACTGCCACTGTTGAGTCACTCCAATGAAGCAGCTGAAGTATGCATGTGATGTCACAACTCCAGTGGGCCAGCCAAGAAGAGGCAGCTCACCTAAAAAGGCAGGGCAGTCAGGAGAGAAAGGGTCTCTTTTAGTGTACATGAAGCAGGATTAATTTATCTGCTTATATGTCACCTTGGATATTCCGGAAGACAACACTACATGCCTGAAAAAAAGAAACATGATTGTACCAAATCATGAGTGAGGAGGGTACGGTATGGTGGGAGGGGAAGGCACTTGGTACATATTGGTGGGCAGTGGGTGGGGCAGGAACATTAACATGTGGAACATGGAACAACTTGAGCCCCAGCTGTCCTTCTTTCAGTCTCAAAAGAGAGAAGACCCTGTTCATGGGATGGGAGTGTGGCTATCTATCTATCATCTATCTATCTATCTATCTATCTATCATCTACCATCTATCTATTGGCTAATCTGGGATATATTTTAATTATTCAGGATGAACAGATGTACATTGGGTCTGTCCTAGGAAAAATAGTGGCATATAATCACTTAGCTATGGAATCTCCTAAATCAATTTTGGTGTGATTTAACATATATATTTAAAGTATGAACATTCTTAGTTCTTATTTTTTCCAGAAATGAGTGCATCCTCAGGGCAATCTCAGATCAATGAAGATGAGACAGAGTGGGTCTTTCAGGAGACTTAGCAGAGGTGTAGAGAAGAAGGGATGGTGTTCCTGGCAGCACAGAACAGGGTGTTGGTGTTCTGTGATGTGCTGAAGAGAAATCAGCTCTGAGCACAGATATGTGGTGAGAGAAGATCCAGATCAGTTTCACGGTTCATGACTCCATGAGGAAGAGTTAGTTATCCCACCATTTGTCCTGCCCAAATAGTGCTTAACCACCTCCTGCTGCCCATATTCAAAACACACTACTGTAATTTGTCCAACTTTGGTTTTCTATGCCTTCATGACTGAGCTCCTTGAGCTCATAGGTGTGTCTAACATGTCACAGTGTCCCCATCACCCCTAGCACAAGGCCAGCTGCATCATTGGCACCTCACGAGCACCTCATGAGTGAGTGTGATGGCACCTAGACTCTTCAGATGATGCAGCACCTGGTTCTGAATGTGTGACATTTGTCTTGTCTGGACATCAGAATCTACAAGCCCTTTTGCTGCATGTGTTGGATAAGGACAGTAAAGAGGTGGTGATTTTAATTACATATGTTTTTCTTTCTCTCACAGCATCTTTGGGGCCTACAGCATGGATGTGATTACCAGCACATCATTTGGAGTGAACATTGATTCCCTCAACAACCCACAGGATCCCTTCGTGGAAAATACTAAGAAGCTCTTAAAATTTGATTTCCTTGATCCATTTTTCTTCTCATTATGTACGTACAATACTAGTTTTCCTTTTTCCTTCCTTCCCCCTTTTCCCTTCTTTCTTTCCTCCCTCACTTTTTCCCTTCCTACCTTTCTACACCAATTTTGCTGAGATATAACTTCATCTAACATATATGTCCCTCTTTTAAAATGTATGATTCAATTTTTACAGTCTGAGTGTTCATCGTCCAAGGAATGGAAATGAAAATGTGGTATGTATATACCATGAAATCTTATTCAGCCATAAAAATGGAAAGACATTCTGTATTTGGACAGTATGGTTGGATCCCAAGGGCATGATGACAAGTGAAATGAGTCCGACAGGGAAAGGCAAATACTATATGACCTCAATTACATGTGGAATAAAAAAAAAACAGTAAAAAGAAACCAAGTCCTACGAAAAGGAGATTAGATTTGTGGTTGTCAGAGGCAGGGGTTGTGGGGTGGTACTTGAATGAAGGTACACACTTTCAGGCATAAGATGGATGAGTACTGGACTGTAAAAACAACATGGTGACTATAGTTGACACTGCTGTATTATGTTGTGTAAGTTGCTAAGAGTAGATTGTAGAAGTTCTCATCATAATAGAAAATTTGGTTTTATAACTATATGAGATGATGGATGTTAACTAATCTTATTGTGGTAATCATTTTTTATATATGTGTGTCAAGTATATATAGTGTGCCTTATCATATACAGTACTGTATGTCTGTTATAACTCAAGGAAACTGAAAACTCTGCTTAGTGCATTCAAAGATAACGTGCAACTTTTATTGAAGTCAGTGGTTGGAATATTGTTGTCGACACAGAAATCCTGTACTTTTTTACCATCACTTCCCACTTTCCTTAGCCATAAGCAACCACTAATCATCTTCTGTCTTAATAGACTTGCCTCTTCTGGACTCTTCATACAGATAGAATCATGTAACATGTGATCTTTGTGGCTGCTTTCCTTCACTAATGTAATGTTTTCAAGGTTTATCCATGTGGCACCATCCATCAGAACTTTCTTTTCTTTTTTTTAATTTTTTAAAATTTATTTTCAGTGTAACAGTATTCATTGTTTTTTTTTAATTTTTTAAATTTATTTTCAGTGTAACAGTATTCATTGTTTATGCACCACACCCAGTGCTCCATGCAATCCGTGCCCTCCTTAATATCCACCACCTGGTTCCCCTAACCTCCCACCCCCCACCCCTTCAAAACCCTCAGATTGTTTTTCAGAGTCCATAGTCTCTCATGGTTCACCTCCCCTTCCCATTTCCCCCAACTCCCTTCTCCTCTCCATCTCCCCTTGTCCTCCATG